CCTCCCAATGGCCTGCAGATAACCACGCTAAGTGGATGCTTCTCTCTCATTGGCTGTAGGTAATTGTTGATGTTATTTCAATCAAAACAAGTCAAGAGGCATGATTTTGAATCGCCCACAGCTCCAGATATTTAGCATGCCAAATATCTCATCTGCGATTCTTTCAGACTGCGTCTTTGACAGTTCATGCTGTGTGATTGTTTCTCACTTGAACGAGCATCGATTTACCTGTGATTTCAGGCATCTGTCTGTGATTTCTCCAAACCTGTTGGCGAGTCAAAATCTGGGCTAAAGCCATGCAGTCTGAACTCGGAATTACTTACTTATTTGCTTTGTTTACTTAGTTGTTTTCATCAGTAATGGATTTGCCCTGTACAGTAGCTCATAGGGGCAACTGCCCAAAATGTTTCTGTGATAATGACAACTGATGCCTGTTTTGTGACTCTGAACAAGTGAGATGAAATTGAGCTGATAAATCAATATTTTTAGGTTCATTTACTGTATTCAGAGCAGATACAGCCTTCATTCTTTTTCATTTCACCTAACATTTTCAGAATAATACAAAGGTGAGCAAAAGCAAATCATGACAGAATTCATTTTCTTTTTTTTTTTTTTGACCAGTCCCTTTTTATTAAATTTTTTTTTATTTATTTATTTATTTATTTATTTATTTATTTATTTATTCATTCATTCATTCATTCATTGATTCATTCATTCATTCATTCATTCATTCATTTATTTATTTATTTATTTATTCATTCATTCATTTAAATTCTTTATTTAGTCTTTTTTTGTACATTATCAATGGTAGCACATCCTTATAGTTTCATTCAGATGTAGTCCTGACAAGCACAGGTCTAACCAGCTCGATGCATTTGCATTCCTTCACTGATATTATGGCGAGGCCGACAAACCTGCCTTTGACAGCAGATTCACACAGGAATCAATTCAGCATAGGGTGACATAAAAAACCCTCTCGCTCTGTGTTGTGCCTTTCACTACCTGTGTCTTTGGAGGGCGTAATGAAGCACGTTGTGACAGTCTCCTCCTGTGACTGAGCTCAAGGCGGGTAATATACAGGCAGCCTGTGGAAGCACCTCATCAACAGCACCTCACACTGCTCCTTGGGGAAATAAGTCACTCTCAGCTCGTCTCCCTCCAGAGCTGTCACCACCTCACCCTCTTTTATTGTGATTCCCTCTTATACAGAGAAATCAAATCTGGAAATGGGGTGGAGCGGAGCATGGGGGTCGACTCTGGCTTTTTTTTGATCGGCAACTTGCTCATAAAGATGAATAAATGTGAGTGGTAATGGTACATCCTGACTGCATCTCTGGGCTGCCTGCAAGCATCAGATTATGCAGAAATGTGGAGCGCAAGTGTCTGAGGTCGCCCTTCTCAACAAGAAGCTCCTGTAGGATCCATGTTGTTGTTGTTGTTGTTTTGTCTCCTCGTTCTTTCCTCCTCCTCATTGTCTTTTAGCTGAAATGTCATCTCACTCCAGCCCCAGAACCAGTTCTATTGTTGCTGTTATTATGGTTAAATGTAATTATAGGTGAACAGCAGAATCTGACATTTATTTGTACAAGATTTGTTGCTAAATTTCTGTTTACAGCGCTAACGCAATTGTCCGGGCAACTTCTTAATTTTATTTATGTTTTCCTTTTTTCTTTTTTTCTTCTGTGCCAATGCTCAATACAACCTTGCTTTTTTTTTCTTTATTAAAAAGGATTTGCAGGTATTTTGTATTTTAAGTTAAAAAAAACATTAAAATAAGATAAATATATTAATGAATGAATGATTGAATGAATAAATTATTTATAAATTTAATCATAAATTTGGTCAAATTAAAATTACTTGTTTTCATTTTTTTAGTATAGCAGGGATCACTCAAAATAAAATGTAAAAAAAAAGTATATTATGTACTCACCCTCTATTTGTTGCAGGCATTTTTCTTTGTTTTGTTCAACACAAATACTGCTATAGATGCCAATGGCTATGAATTTCCAACACACTTTAAAATCTTCTTTTGTTTTCAAACTCATAAAGGTTAAAAACACTTGTGGTTCTATAATTGGAGAGTAAAGGTTCAGTTTAGATGAGCTATGCCTTTAATTCTTCCTCTTTTGTTTGCTTCTTCGCCAGTGCTCAGACTTATTCAACATTGCTTATATGCTCATTGTTTATGATAGCTGTTTTTATTGTGAACAATTTGTCAGTATGTGGTATTCTAAGTAAAAAAAAAAAAACAATTAAAATAATAAATACAATGGGTCAAATTTAGTTAACTCTAAAGTTTATTTTATTTATTTATTTATTTATTTATTATTATTTTTTTATTACAGGCATAGTTCAATCTAAATAAAAATTTTATTATTTTCTAGCCCTCCATTTGTTGCAAACCTTTTTCTTTATTCTGTTCAACTCAGTTTTGAACACCATTAGCCATTGATTTCAATTCAAAGTCATAAATGTTTAAAACCAGTTAAGGTTCTGTAATTGCTGACTAAAGATTCACTTTGCTTTTGTGCCAATATTCAGACTTATTCAACATTGCTTCTGTTTTTACTCTGAACGGTTTGTCAGTATGTAGTATTCTAAGTAAAAATAATAATAAATAAATAAGCCCAAAGAAATATGTAAAAGAATGAATCATAAATATAGTCAAAATGGGCCAAATTAAAGTTTAGTTCTGTTATTTATTTTATTTTATTTATTTTATTTATTTAATTTTTTTTTTTTTGCTGAATTACAGGGAAAGCTCACAAAAATTTTATTATTTACTCGCCCTCCATATGTTGCAATGCTTTTTCTTTATTCTGTTCTACTCAATTTTGAACACCATTAGCCATTAATTTCCATTGTATTTTCTAGTGTGGTTCTGCTATAAATGTCAATGGCTATGCATTTTTCTTCTTTTGTTTTTAAACTCATAAAGGTTTGAAACCACTTGGTTTTTTAATTGGTGAGTGAAGATTAATTTTGGATGAGCTATCCCTTTTAATTCTTTTTTTTTTTTTTTTTTGCTTTTTTTCTTTTGTGCCAATATAAAGACTTATTCAACATTGCATCTGTTTTCATTATTAACAATTTATCAGTATGTGGTATTCTAAGTTAAATAAATAAATAAATATGTAAAATAATGAATCATAAATATAGTCAAAAACTATGTCAAATAAAACTTTATTTATGTATTTATTTATTTGTTTATTTATTCACTTATTTGTTTATTTATTTTTAGATCTAAAGGGATAGTTCACTCAAAATAAAAATTTTATTATTTACGTACCCTTCATTTGTTGCAATCTGTTTTCTTTATTCTGTTGAACTCAATTTTGAGGACCATTAACTATTGACTTTCATTGATTTTTTAGTATGGTCCTGTTATACATGTCAATGGCTATAATTCCCAACGCACCTTAAAAGTTTTTCTTTTGTTTTCAAACTCATAAACATTTGCTGAGTGAAATATAATTTGGATATGCTATCCCTTCAATCTTTCCCTTTTTTTTTTTTTTTTTTAACCTTGCTTCTGTTTTTTTATTGTGAACAATTTGTCAGTATGTGGTATTCCAAGCAAAATAAATAAAAATAAATAAATACGTAAATACATAAATGATCGAATCATAAATATAGTCATAAAATGGTCCAAATAAAAGTTTAGTTCTGTTATTTATATCTTATATCTTTATTATATCTTTATTTATTTTTAATTACAGGGATAGTTCACTTCAAATACAAATAGTATTATTTAATCGCCCTCCATTTGTTGCATTCCTTTTTCTTAATTCTGTTCAACTCTATTTTAAACATCATTAGCCATTGACTTTTCATTTTATTTTCTAGTATTGTCCTACTATAGATGTCAATGGTTATGAATTTCCAACGCACTTTAAAAGTTCTTCTTTTGTTTTCAAACTCATAAAGGTTTAAAACCACTTGAGGTTCTGTAATTGGTGAGTGAAGATTCATTTTGGATGAGCTATCTTTTTAATCCTTGTGTGGTCAAAGAAGTCTATATACTGTGTTTGTCCTAGGGGTCAGAAATGACCTGCCTTCACTAAACCTTCAAAATAAAGCAGGCAACTTTAATTTCAAACCTCAAATATATTTTACATGAAGAAACTACATCATAATTCATCACAAACTCTTTGAATGTCTAGGTTTTGCCTCGTCAGTGTGCAGTATTTCATCCATATATAATCATGTATGCACCACTTATTTTTTTGCTTAAGTAAAGGTTTATATTTTCTAATGCTAAAGGTACCTGCATAAGTGTAAAAACTTTTTTATCAAGACATTGTTTTTAAAACTTAAAGCAGCATATTCTTATTGTTTTTGTGTATAAGTGTTTGTTGGAATGTACATGTGTGTGCCGTTGTGCACATGTAGCTTTTTTGGGGACATATTATTTATTTATTTATTTATTCATTTATTTATGTATTTATTTATTTATTTATTTATTTATTTATTTATTTATTTATTTATTTATTTATTTATTTATTTATTTTTTAAGGATTAATTGTCTCTTTCTTTCTTTCTTTCTTTTTTATTTATTTATTTATTTATTTATTTAAGGATTAATTATCTCTTTATTTATTTATTTATTTGTTTATCTATCACTTTATTTATTTATCTATCTATCTATCTATCTATCTATATAATTATTTATTTCTTTTTAATATATAATGATTATAGCTGGCAATGCAAGCACTATCCTTAATATTTACAGCATTTATGAAATTATAAAATATTATTTTTTACATTAAAAAAAAACGTATTTATGTTTATACAATTTAGAAAAAGTGATAAAAAAAATCAAGATGTAAAAGATAAAAACAAAAGCGCTATTGTGTTTTTTTCTGCTGTTAAAAAGATTAGGGGTGATCTTTTTGACCCTTAAATGATACGGAGGAATGATACTTGTATGTTTTAATAACTGAGGATATTTAAATTCATTCCATTGATTTCAATTCAAATTCATTTTCCTTCCATTTCAGATGAGCTCTGTCAAGATGCTGCGTCCTCGGCTAAACGGGATCCTGTTCAAGCTGACTTTTGAGGAGCAGGTAAACAACATCCGGCCAGACATAATGAATGTGACGTTTGCTTGCGAGGAGGTAAAGAAGAGCGAAGGTTTCCACATGCTCTTGGAGATGGTGCTACTGGTCGGGAATTACATGAATTCGGGCTCCAGAAATGCTCAGACATTCGGCTTCAACATCAGCTTCCTCTGCAAGGTAACAAACTAAACAGAATCCCTTAAATCTTTATTCTGATTCTACATCATGTGACCCTCAACCATAAGACCAGTCAAAAGGACAACATTTTGGCCAAGATCACCTGCTTCGAAAGTTATCACTTGATTGAATGGACGTTATCAGTGGTATTCAGCTGTAAGATATAGGCTTCTGTGCCTACTGGTAGGCTCAGAAGGCTGTTATCATCCATCCACATGGTTAATCAGCTATACAAATAGAGAAGACTACAGATCCAGATCTGTTTTTAAATTACTGTGACAGTTGGGATTAGGGTTTGAGTAGTGATAGACGTTAATAAAATACTATTAATGGGGAATTTAATAAAGAATACAATTCTTGTTTACTTCCGGCCACAGCCATATGAGATCTGAAGCTGATTAACCATGTGGATGGATAATAACCTACCAGGCGCAGAAGGCCCCTGCTGGCCCATATCTGTCAGCTGATAACCGATGTTAACTTCTATTCAATCGATGATAACATTTGAATCGGCTGCAGAGATATTAGAAAATCTACTTGTAGAATCTGATGGTTAAAAAAAAATTACCTTTAAAGTTGTCCAAATTAAATTCTTAGCTATGTACATTACAAATAAAAACGTGTTTTTGATATACTCACAGTAGGAAATGAGTCCAATATATTCTTGCAACATGATCTTCACTTAATATTATAATGTTTTCTTTGGCTTAAAAGACAAAGCTATAATTTCGACCTATTCAGTGTATTTTTGGCTATTGGCAAAAAGATATCCGTACAATATAATATTGGTTTTGTGGTCCAGGGTCACGTTTGTGTTTAACCTTCACTTTCAAGTTTGTCTTGCATTCTCAATAACATTCTGCAAAACTCAAAGCTCAAGGATTGTTCCTGCGTGAGGATTTCAACCTGCAGTGTATTAGGTGTTAGGTTTCACAGATATTCCACTCACTACTTGACATTTAGAAGATACTTTTATCCAAAGCAACTTGGAGTATTCATGTATTCATATCTAATGTCATTAGATGTGCAGTTCCCCCCTGGTGTAATGTGAGGTTAAGTGCGTTGTGGGATTATAGAACTACTGACAGTAGTGAGCATGTACATTCTATAATCAGGATAAAAGCATTCAATAATGAGGGTCATGGCGAGTAACCTGTTTCACTTATTTCCCTATATATGCTTCCCCAGGGTTCTTTTTTTTTTTTTTAGAATATATGGTCTGTCTTTCCACTGTTATGCGGATGACACTCAAATTTACCTGCCCTTAAAACCGTTTAAGTGAGTTGGAGTCTCATGTCTTGTATGTCAGATGTGAAAGCCTGGTTGTCTTTGAACTTTCCAGATTTTAATAAGAGTAAAACTGAAATAATTGTGTTCGGCCCATCAAATTCTTATAGGACACCACCAGTAAATCTTGGTAAATCAAGCTTTTATGTGAAGCCTTTGGGTAGAAAACCAGATCCTGCTATCTACGCTTGAGTCACTGGGCGTTGCGGGCACTGTTATACAATGGTTCAGATCTTACCTCTCTGACAGGTCATTCAGGGTGTCTTGGAGGGGAGAGGTGTCCAACCTACAGCATCTAAACACTGGGGTACCTCAAGGCTCTGTTCTTGGGCCACTTCTCTTCTCCATCTACACATCATCTCTAGGACCAGTCATCCAGAGACATGGATTCTCCTACCACTGCTATGCTGATGATACCCAGCTATACCTCTCTTTTCATCCTGATGATCCCTCGGTTCCAGCTCGTATCTCAGCCTGCCTGTTGGATATTTCACACTGGATGAAAGATCATCATCTTCAGCTGAACCTCGCAAAAACGGAAATGCTTGTAGTTTCTGCCAACCCGACTCTACACCATAACTTTTCAATCCAGATGGATGGGGCAACCATTACTGCATCCAAAATGGTGAAAAGCCTTGGAGTAACGATTGATGACCAACTAAACTTCTCTGACCACATTTCTAGAACTGCTCGATCGTGCAGATTTGCACTCTATAACATCAGAAAGATCCGACCCTTCTTATCTGAACATGCAGCTCAACTCCTTGTTCAAGCTCTTGTTCTCTCCAAACTGGATTACTGCAACTCTCTACTAGCTGGGCTTCCAGCTAACTCTATCAAGCCTCTTCAACTGCTCCAGAATGCAGCAGCACGAGTTGTCTTCAATGAACCTAAACGAGCACATGTCACTCCGCTGCTAGTCCGTTTGCACTGGCTGCCAGTTGCTGCTCGCTTCAAATTCAAAACTCTGATGTTTGCCTACAAAGTGACTTCTGGCCTAGCACCTTCTTATCTGCTCTCACTTCTGCAGATCTATGTGCCCTCCAGAAACTTGCGTTCTGTGAATGAACGTCGCCTCGTGGTTCCATCCCAAAGAGGGAAAAAATCACTTTCGCTCACGCTCACGCTCAATCTGCCCAGTTGGTGGAATGAACTCCCTAACTGCATCAGAACAGCAGAGTCACTCGCTATTTTCAAGAAACGACTAAAAACTCAACTATTTAGTCTCCACTTCACTTCCTAATCTGCAATTGCCTCTTTGAATATCACACTAATTGTACAGAAAAAAAAAAAAAAAAAACTACTAACACTTCCCTTCTTAAACTTTACAGACCTGAAACTTGCCTTTAGTACTTATTCATTGTTGCTCTTAGTTGTGTAAATTGCTTCCTTGTCCTCATTTGTAAGTCGCTTTGGATAAAAGCGTCTGCTAAATGACTAAATGTAAATGTAAATGTAAAATCTGTGTTTTATCTTTGATTATGGCTTGAGATTTGATTAACAGATTGACCCAGCGGTCAAATGCTGCGTTTTTCAGCTTTGACTTTTAAAAACAGTCAAACCTCTTCTATGTGGAAAAGAATTGGAAAAATAATTCATGTTTTTATTACTTCTAGGGTGGACTACTGTAACTCACTATATTTTGAGTTCAGTCAGACAACACTATCCTGTTTACAGTCAGTTCAAAATGCAGCTGCAAGGCTTTTAACTGGTACCAAAAAACATGACCACATCACAACAGTCTTAGACTCTTTGCACTGGTTGCCTGTGCACTTTTAAAATCCTTCTCTTGGTTTTTCAATCACTAAATGACTTGACTCCTTACCTGTCAGCCCCGTTGACTGAATATTAGCCTGGTCGGTCTCTTCCGTCGTCAAACCAGAGACTATTATGCATCACTAAGTCGAGGCTGAAATGCAGGGGTAGTCCTACATTCGCAGTAGCTAGCCATATGCTCTGCCCCTCTGTATTAAATCTATATCATCTTTGTCTGTTTTTAAATCTAGGTTGAAAACTTATCTTTTTTGATTTGGCATTTTATCAGTGAGAATTGTTTGTTTTAGCTATAATTGCATATTCTCTTTGTGATTTGTATTTTGCAGCGCATTGGTCAGCCTTTGGTTGTGTTCAACAGTGCTATATAAATAAATAAATAACTAAATTGACATTTACGTAAGGCTGAGTTTGCAATGAAGTTAGTATGCCTATAATAGGTGCGCTATTAATCTCTAAGTTCTGTGATTGGAGATGGTTAAAGAAAAAATATAAGCTGACAGTTCTACACCAACTGACAGTTTTCTTCAGAATTGTGCATACTGTATTAATTTGAGTTTGTTTTTCACATGTTATTTATAGAGCTGGCAGGTAAGCCTCCCTACTGAGATCATTTTAACTGTTACCAGAATGCGTATGAAAGCTTTAACTGCTGTTGTTGTGTATGTAAGATGGACATCTGGCTGTGTGTTTTACAAGCTGATTTGGACGGCGAAGCCATTTGGTCCTGCTATGAAAGACAGCCACCCCCCTGCCGCTGTTCCCAGGCAGCCAGAACTACACCGTCACTCTTAGTTACATCTCTTCGCTGGCCTTGTCATCTATTCGGAGGCGTCCCAGATGCTGCTGGGACACAGGTGTCCCAACCACAGGGGTTTAAGCTGAAGCCAGTTGTGGCATAGCTGAACGCTTCTTCTTATTTTCCTCGATTTTCAGTCTTGTGCAAACCTGTTTCCGAAAGCTACTTAAGTAGTGTTCAACAGCAAGATTTTTTTTTCCAAAAATAAATAAATAAGTAAATAACTGCAGTAATTTAATGTAACAGTTTAACAATGTATTTTAACAATATGTGAAGTGACAAGATTCCAGCAACAAGCAATTTGAATGTCAGCACTAAATTTGCAGCATGACAGCATGACAGAAACATTTAAAACCAGCCACTGTTCTCCCAATGAAATGGGAATCTAATTAATGCATATGAAACCTCTTTAACATTATTAATAGGAAGGCCCAGATTTTTAGTCATTCATTGAGTCTATTTATTTACTTGTGTAAATATGTGCAAATTTATGTTTATTCTGTTTTAAATGAATTTCAGTATTATTATTGACTAATATGAAAATGTTTATATGAGTTATTAGGTTTGTTTATCAAATAAGTAAATCTAATTGGATTTGCATGTTAAACATCTAATAAATGTAAAAAAAAATTATTATTTTTAATTTTATATATTCAGTTTTTACCTACGATACTCATAGAATCATTCCACATAAATCCAAAGATTTTTTTCACAAAATTCTCTGCAGAAATAGCAAAAATGTCAACAGATTCTGTCTGGCCCTATGAATAGGCTACTGGGTGACTGATGTTATTGGTCTAAGTTCTGACTTTCATTTTTTAAACAGTCTGCTAGTTATTTTATTTTTTTATAATTTGAGGTAAACTATCTGCTGCTGACTCACATTGGTTGCATGTATGACTGAACAAAGCCCATAATATGTATATGAGGTGATCTTTGTCATAGTAGTATACTGTTTTTCTGCCGTGTCACATAAATAGAAAGAATTTCTAAAATCATCATGCATCGCTGCCGCAGATGGTTGGATGGAGAAAAACTCCTTTCAGCATAAAACAAAATACTCTTTTTTACTCTTTAAAAGTCCGATTTAGTTAAAATATTATTTTTTATATGTTAGTATTAGTATTTTAGTCTTTAAAGA